AGCACTGGAGAGAGGCCCCAGCACCAGAGAGAGGCCTCCGCCGCGCAGCCGAGCCCCAGCACCAGAGAGAGGCCCCAGCACCGGAGAGAGGCCTCTACCACGCAGCCGAGCCCCGGCACTGGGGAGAGGCCCCAGCACCGGAGAGAGGCCTCCGCTGCGCAGCCGAGCCCCGGCACCGGAGAGAGGCCCCAGCACCAGAGAGAGGCCTCCGCCGCGCAGCCGAGCCCCGGCACTGGGGAGAGGCCCCAGCACCGGGGAGAGGCCTCCGCCGCGCAGCCGAGCCCCGGCACCGGAGAGAGGCCTCCGACGCGCAGCCGAGCCCCGGCACCGGGGAGAGGCCTCCGCCGCGCAGCCGAGCCCCTTGCCTGGGCCTCACTACCCGCCTCCCTGCCTCCCCGTGGACCGTCACCAGCGGCCTCGTGGAAGCTCCCGCCGCCCCGGCCCTCCACAGATGATTTGTTTTGTTACATTTTTATCAAAATAGAGACTAGAACGAAAATTCAGTTAAGTATTTCATGCTTTTCAGCTGTTTCCAACAGAAAATACACACCTGGAGGAAGAACTGCTTTTGTTCAATGCTTTCACTCTGAACGCTGGCCGGTGGAGGAAAGGCCCTGGAGCCTGCACCTCACAGATTCTGTACAGGGATTACAACTTTACCTTTTAGGAAAGGAATTTCTTTTCCTGTGCTAAACTTTTGAGAATTTTTTTTTTTAGCAATCGTGGGACTTGAACGCCTCAGCTCTTCAGCTCAAGGCGAGCACTCTACCACTTGAGCTACAGCACCACTTCTGGTTTTCTAGCAGTTTATTGGAGATAAGAGTTTCATGGACTTTCCTGCCCAGGCTGGCTTTGAACTGTGATCCTCAGACCTCAGCCTCCTGAGTAGCTAGGATTACAAGCGTGAGCCTCTGGCACCCAGCTTTGAGAACCTTTTTATAACTTACACAGAAAGTACGTGTATATAAAATTAGGAAAAGTTTTGTGCTTAGTAAGATTTGCATTTATAAGTTAATTTTCTAAACCAGTTCAGGTTCTGTGAGGAATAAAGCCAAAGCAGAGAACCTGCTCACTGTAGGGCTGTGCGGTTTGTCTGTCTGTGCCAGGACTGCTGTGGTTCTGTGAGAATCCCACTGTCCCGGAGCAGGCCCTGTGCTGGGAGGCACTCCCAGCTACCGGAAGTACACACACAGGCACATAAACACACGTGCACACAGACGCACAGGTGCACACAGGCTCACACCACAGACACATATGAAGCACATACAGGCCTGCCACCCACACACACAGATTTCCATCACCTGCCCACTCTGTGAAAGTCTCAGGTTAAAAAACATTTCACTGCTTCTCTTCTGTGTTGGTGTCATCGGAAATGCAGTTCTGTGCAGAACTCAGTATTGTGCCTCTTGCAAGCACCTGTGTTTAGGTGAAATGCTGAACACACAATTAAAGCCACAGTGGAATTTTCCATGTGGATTCTGGCCGTGTTGCAGTGTTGGACCTGGACTCACCTTTCTTGAACGCTTGCTCCTCGCAGCCTATCCGCACTGGGTGGCGAAGCTGAACGACACGGAGCTGGACAGCGGCAGCAGCCTGCGCTGGGAGTGCAGGGCCGCGGGGCAGCCACGGCCGGCCTACCGCTGGCTGAAGGACGGCGCCCCGCTCCCGCCCCAGGTACGTCTGCGGGCGGGCGGACGGGGCGCAGGCTGTGCAGAGAAGTGCACTGGCATCGCTTAGCTGCACAAGGCGGTCTGTCTGTGACATTCCCATATGGGCCTCTGTGCCCCGGTCACACGCACCTCTCACCGGCCCCCTACCAGCCGCTTCCTCGCGCTTTCACACACACACACAAAGTACTGTTCTATCGCACACGCGTGCATAAAGCATGGCTGTGTGCCCCTCCTTCCCCCTCGGCTGCCCCCTCCCTGGGACCCAGGACAGCCTGTTCTGCTTACTGGAAGTCTCTTCCTACTTCTGTCTTCTCATAGATTTGAAGTGAGAAATAAAACAAATATACAAGGAAGAATTCCTTCTCAAGTTTTTTGAGTAGTACATTAAATGCGAGTGTTTCAGGCTGTCACTGCTTGGGACCCATCAGTGAGTACCATAGTGACAGTCTGCGTGGCTGAGGTTCAGTGCCGGAAGCCTGCTGCCCTCTCTGTGTGGGACGGCCTTACTCTCCCCAAGCGCAGGACTAGCCTGCGTCACGGGCTGGTGAAGCAGGACTGCAGTCCACCCCGCGTCCTGTGTCCAGACAACCTGTACCTCCACACGAGCGCCCCACCATGCCCGCTGCACTGTGGAAAACCACTGGCGTGCACTGGGTTTAAACTGATTATTACTACCTAAGTGCAGAGTGATGACGATAATTTTACTAGCTCTGTGCCTTGATTGTGGGCAGGAAGGGGAGACAGAGAGAGGGAGAGAGAAACAGGTCACTATTACTGACAAAATGAGGACACGTGTGCAGTTGAGACTGAGCCCCAGTCCTGCCCTGGGGTCTGCTGGCTGAGGAGGGTGCTGCGCCCTGCCTCTCACAGCCTCCGGTCGTGTTTATGAGGAAGCTGGATCATACCTCCATGCCACTGTTTTGTCTCTAACACCCTGTATTCTAAACCCAGCTAAGCCTATAAATAAAACACAATTGCACAAGAAGCCAGATACACAGAAAACAAAATGGAAAGCTCTGAAGGCAAGCGAGGGGGGGGTTACAGCTCTTTAACTCTCCCAGGCTGCCCTGGGAGGAGCCCAGCTGGGGAGAAGGAGGCTGGCCTGGGAGAAGGAGGCCCTGGGAGAAGGAGGCTGGCCTGGGAGGAGGCTGGCCTGGGAGGGGGAGGCCCTGGGAGGGGGAGGCCCTGGGAGGAAGAGGAGGCCCTGGGAGGAGGAGGAGGCCCTGGGAGGAGAAGGAGGCCCTGGGAGGAGGGGGAGGCCCTGGGA